TTGCTCCAGCTTGTAATCTCAGTCATTCAGTCTTGGCATTCTGTCACCGCCTCTACTGCCGTTATAAGGACTGTATGAACAGCCATCGATGTGGATTTTTATACCCATTCAGCAGGGGGGCCTGCATACCTGAATGCAGGATCCTATGCTGCACGTTTTTCACAGGCGGTTGCATTTGGATGAAGCTGTAAAATTGATCCCCAAATGCTACGTTTATGTGCTTTGCATGTGTTTTCGCGAATAGTAGACACATCATCTTTCTGTTTGACTTATTTGGTTCTCATTTAATGTAATTATTTTAGATATTTGACAAAAAGTGGTTTTACATCTATGTCAAGTTTCTTTTTTTAAAGAGTATATTATCCTGAACCCAGTTTTAAACGCTATCTTAGATCAGATCTTTGTCTCAATTACTGTTTCCCATCTTCCACTAATGTAAACATTCAGGCTTCATCAGGCAAATCAAGCATAATATTGTTTCCAAACCAACTATATATTGTCTTTTGGGCAGGAAAACATATATTTCACTAAGAGATATTCCAGAAAGCAGAAATTTGAATCACTGTCCCTCCGCCAAACAGGAAATGTTCCTGTAAATGAAAAACATTAAATGTTCTTACTTGTGCCAGTGTTCAAACTATGACAATATTTCCGCTTTGCCAGAAACTTCAAGTGGCATCTTGGAAGATACTGAGCTTTTAGAGAGTCAAGTTACAATGACATGTTGCTGACTACGACTCCGATGATAATGATGACAGTTTAGACCAGCTTAATTTTGAGCTTGTTTTTTCTGACTTTTGAGCTGTGATTTGTCTCAGTGACTTTCTGAGATTTGTTTGAACTCATTGTGTATATACACATCATAAGCCGTCATCCTGGATAGCTCTTTCTCCAGACCATCAGTATGATGACACAAGATTTGTAAGACACCCTATAAATATTTTGTACTGTGTATTCAGACATGTACCAGGATGGAAGTTTAAGGGTCAGTCAAATCACCTTTCTTTGGGATAAGTATTGTTTGAACTTTGCACAACATTTTTTTTAATTTCGTTTAATTTCGAATCGGTTGTTCGTTTGATGAGTTTGTTTATTATCCTTTTCTGGTTCATTGTCTTTGGAAACTGTATGGAGTGTTCAAGCAGCCGCATAAACGCAACAGTTAGTGTCATGGAATGAATATTTAAGAGTGACTGAAATAATATTAGTAATGTATCAAGTCGTTTCTGTGGAATTGATCGGTTAAATGGTTTACTTGGCCTTCGCTTCTCGATCGGTGAATCACAAATTTGATTTTGAAATGCCACAAACAAAATATACAAGGGGTCATCAGAAAGATTACTGACAGAAGAGGGGTAGGAATCGGGAGAGAACTGAACATCTTCGAGGCCACCGTCAGGAATTTCATTTTGTGAGCCCATGTGTGGGTCATCAGTGACAACTGCATCGGGGAAGTTAGGGAGAATAATGCGAACGTTCCTTTGAAATTTCTGGTCTTCTATTGTTGTAATATGAGGGTTCATGCAAAAGCGCCTGAGGAGTGTTGGCAGCTAGTTCACCAGGTTCACAGCGCATATAGAATTTTAGTCGCCAGAGATGATCAGGTTTTTTTGGTTCTGTCAGGTATGCAGACATTGGCATGGCTTTGTCCCAATGTCGCTTCAATAATTTGTCATTTACTCGTGGTATGTCTGGCCACCCTGTTGCTTTCGCACACTTGGACTTCAGTTGGTGGGTCCAAGATATTCTTGGATGGGTTCTGTGCCTCCGCTTTGGTTGGATTGTACACCGGAGGGAGGCTGACTAAGCTGCAGAGTTTAAAGACGACTTTCTTCTTGAACCAGTTCCGGGGGGGTTCAGGGGAAGTTCCTCCCTATCTAAGCCTACCACGGAGTCCCTTATTATTATGTACAGATTAAAATAAAAAATGCAACAAAGATGGTTGTCTCTGTCAGTATGGTAAGGCTCATCATCACCTCGGGGCCCTTGCCCCTTGTCTTTAAGATGCAGTTTCAGCCTGTTCGTACACTCAGTGGCGACCGACACCTTTTTATCTACCAGGCGTATCGGTGAACTTTAACGTCCAGAAATGGAGGTTTGTTAAAGGGTCCGATAACTCTGCCAAACATACACATATTTATCTAATTGGGTTCTTACCACTTGTGGGAGCCGCGGTGCCAGTATGGCTTATTATTGTGAATGTGCTGTGGGACAGCTTTCTATTGTTGACGTACTACTGGGCATGGAGTTGCCTCCCTTTGCCTTGCCTCGTTTTCGGTTTTTGGTCTGCCGTGTCTGGTTCTGAATAAAAGTCAAGTCGTGTTAACGATCATCTCGTGTCCTAGTTGGTTTGCTTGATACAGTCTGTGCCTAACACTGGCGCGGACCTTAGGTTTTAGGCAGGCGTCGGTCCGGTCGGATCTCATACTGTAAACTGAAACCTTTAGTAAAACATGATACAAGAAAAATGGGTAAGAAAAAAGAGTAATGCTGGAGCCAAGTTAATACATTTTCAAACTTAATTGGAAGGTGCTTAGCCCAGTCGCGGCTATGGGTCACGGAAGTAAACAACAAATTCCAATGCTCAATGGCGTCGAGTGCTGTGATTGGTCCACGCTCCAAGCGTAACAAACGCACATGGGGATATTTATCAATCAGACCGCTCCTGGGCATTGAGTACAGAGAATTGTCTTTACTTCCTTGACTCACAGCCGCGACTGAGCCAATATTTCGGTAATATCACCCGATATAGCTAATAAATTTCAAAAATAAATGTTTGTGGAATGCAGATCTTATGTGGAGGGAGGTGGCGAGGTATTGTGAACATGACAACCATACATTTTCATTTAATTTAAATGTAACAGCCGATTTCAACTTCGGCCAAGTTATTTGTTTTATATGTCTATTTATATATACTCCTCAAAAAAAGTTAAGCAACAAGTATTATTTTCCGTGCAACATTGTCATCAGTGTTGAATGCCATCCAATGAAAACAAATGCAGGCAGGAGAATTACCTACGAAAACTCGACTTAAAGCCTTTTCCATGTAGATTTTCCAGATAACACTGATAACATCGCCTGAACACAACCACCCTCAAAACACACATGCAAAATGCACGACATGCATGTTTTACACACTTCACCCATCCACCCTGATTGCTTAAAAAGTGCCAGAAAGGGCAATTTGTCGACATTAACACTTTTAACATGGCTAGGCGTCACTTAACGCCAACTGAGGTTACTCAGATTGTTGGAATGGTACAGGGGGGTCTCACCCAAACTGCTGTTGCCAATCATTTTAATGTTCACCGCAGTGTCATCTCAAGAGTGATAACTCGATACCATCAAACTGGACTGATGACAGAGAGACCACACACAGGTCGTCCAAGGGTGAGGACCGGTATTCAGCCACCCTAGCCCGGAGAAACAGGTTTACTACGGCCAGATCTCTCCAGAATGACCCTCAGAGAGTTGCAGGAAACAGAGTCTCAACACAGACAGTAAGAAACAGACTTCACACTCAGGATCTGAGGTCCAGACGACCAGTACAACGTATCCCACTGCCTGCACACCATCGACAACAGAGACTTGCTTGTGCCAATCAACGGAGTAACTGGAGGGTCAATCGCTGGCGTAACGTTCTCTTCACGGACGAGTCAAGATTCTGCCTTGACTTCAACGATGGTAGGGCATGTGTGTGGAGAAACCGTAATGAACAATACGCCAACTGTACAGGGACGAGATTGTCACACCTGTGATCATTCCCCTAGCACAACAAGCAGGTCCTAACTTCATCTTTATGGATGATAATGCTCGTCCACATCGAGCAAGAGTTTTCACTGATCTTCTTCAGACCAACAACATCACGCATATGGACTGGCCTGCAAGGTCTCCGGATCTAACTTGGAAGGCGTGTTTATGGTCTTCATGTTCGTCCTCAGAATCTGGATCAACTTAAACAGGCCTTAAGGAGAGAATGGCAGAACATTCCACAACAGACACGTGATAGGCTCATCTGGTCAATGCCAAGACGTGTAGAAGCTTGCATTCAAGCCAATGGTGGACATACACGTTACTGAACATTGGATCATATTTTCAAAATGACTTAAACTCAAATTTTAAGATTTTCATCTTTCAGTGCAGAACATTTTGCACGACTGCTTTCATGATACTGTTTTTGATCATTTGTAAACCTGTTAGGCATAAATGCTTTTCAGTTCCCTTTGAGGACAATGTGTGTTTGTGCTCTTTCTTTATATTGCTTTAGTCAGTTTTTAGGTATTGGAATATATGAACATGGACTGACACATAATATATTTGTTGCTTAACTTTTTGTGAGGAGTATATATGGGTCCAGTTTTGCAGTAATATCACTATCCTTCCTCAGGGGCCTGTGCACAAGGGTTTAGTTATCTCATACAGATTGATGAAAAAGCCTGTAACTTTTCATAAGTTACATATCCTTCTTATTATCCCCCCAGCATATAATGCGGAGGGATATAGCGATCAGCCAGTCTGTCTGTCCGTCCGTAATCATTTCCTTTTCTGGGGCAGAATTTGAAAACCATTCAGTGTATTTCATTGAAACTTGGCAAATCTATCAGGCACACACTGAAGTTGTGCCTTTTGATATTTTGGGATTTTTCTGATTTTTATTTTTTTAAATTTTTATGGAAAGAAGTTGGACCTAGGCTCAATTGGGGGATGGGGTTCATTTCCGGGCCAGAATTCGAAAACCATTCAAAACCAGAAGTGGGTATGCTTCCTTAAAGAACATTCAACTACTGACTCATTACATACAGAATTGCACATTTACGAGTGGTTACTTTACAGACAGCTGCCGGGGGGATATGTCATCTTTCTGATGACTCTTGTTAGAATATACTATTATGAGGAGATATGGATCAAGAGTCAAATCTTTTTTACATCAGTTAGATTCTTCTCACATCTTGCTCTTCAACCAAGTGTTACGGATATAGAAAATATCTTTAACGTTTCAGTCTAAATATTCCTAGAGGGCAGGAAGCACTTGAGACCTTCAGAAACATTTCTACACAGTCCAATGTTTTGTGCATGGCCATACATGTCAACTATATACACGGACTAGCACAGGAAAACAGGGAACAAAATAAAAGGAAGAAGGAAAAGCGGGCTATCAAAACCAAGGAATTGTTGAAAAATGTAACTGCACTCCGCAATTCTAATTCTGGTCATCTACTGATTCACTTTGTTGGACGGGAAAAAGAAGACACATTTACAGGGGCCTTTGATGAATTTGCTGATGAAAAACTTCAGACTTTAATTCAAGATGGAAGCCTGTTCACTGATGTCTACACGAAACGGTTCTTAAGTGATTATGCCATAGATCTAGACGAACTGCAGAAGCAACAGAAGGGTGTACTTGAAGAGATATCTGGGAAGGTCGGGGAGAAAGCCAGGGAACTTCTAGGTCAACAGGAACGGCTGGATAAGCTAAAATTGAAGGCTAAGGAGACACCAGATGATGAGTTGCTTGATGAAATACTGCTGCAGAGACAAATAGTAGTTGAACAATTAAAGGAAATTGAACAGTTGATGAACAGGAAGTTAAAAGAAGAAAAGAAACTTTCTGTGTGTGTTGATAAGGATAAATTAAAGGATACACATCAGTATAAAGATTTCCTTGTACTGTATGTTGAAGGTGGTGTTTATCTCACAACATCTGACTCTAAAACAAAATTAGCTCTTGATGAACGAATCATCAGTCCGTCTGATCAAACTTTGATAACATTCCTGAAAAACAGAACTCAGTTTAAATCAGTGCATCCTTCTGGACATACATTGCAGGATTTAACCAAACTGCACGAGAGTAGATCAATTCAATTCAAAGGTTACTTCAAAGGGAAGGAAACAGATGAGAACATCGTTGGTTACATGTTTGATGACCACAAACTTCTTGAATACGTTAGTGCATTTACAAAGAACACAGATGGTGGCACCTACTTCCTTGGCATAGCAGAGAAAGACCGTTCTTTCAATGGAAGACTTTATAAGTCAAGGATAATGGACATTCAGCAAGTTGCTATCTGTAGTCAACAGACTGTAGAAGCTAAAATAAAGGAGGGTGTTTCAAAGGGTGTGTTAATCTGTGACTATGATGGACATGAACTACAAAATGGCCTGGTGGATGTCTTTTTCATTCCAAGAGACAGTGATATGCAGGGTACTGCTGCAAAGGTGCCTGGAGGTTTTGTAATCGAAATACACGTCCAGCCTGTCAGTGGTATAGTGTTCTATGACACCCAGGGACCGCTGGCTTACAGAGTGGAAGGGGACGCAGTCACAGCATACTCTGTTGAAGAGTGGTTCCATGCCGTCGTTGTGAACAGCGTAGTGAGGTAAACAAAGAGATCACAAAGAATTCAGTAAGTTTACTAAGTTTATACATCATTTGTTATTTTCACTATATTTGTCAGTTCCATTACACTACAAGACTATACTAGTATTTACGGATACTGTTATGGTTGAACAATATATTTCTATTGCTATTGCTTAGATGTACATTCACACCAGTAACCGTCTCCATATCTTTTGGTACCTTTACCAACATGTTCTTCTTAAAAGACCAAGTTCAGATACAACAAATATTGACGCAGTGACACACACAGCTTACTTGAAAACATAGGTTTCTGTTCTCCCTTGCACATTATACGATGTGATGATGTGAGGGAGGAAAAGAATGTTTCCATCAGAAACATGTTAATGATAATTATGGAATCGAATGGTTAAAATGCATAGAGGTATATGCGCTAAATGTTAAATGTGCTACATTTGGAATTAATCTTAGTGAAATATGGTTACAGTTGAAATTCGAAACTTATGTATAGAGGAACACACACATAAATATTAAAAGTAATTTATGATACTATCTAAAGTATGGTGATAGTCTAGTGGTACAAAAGACATGATTATGAATACAATAGCTTTTTAACATTTGGATAAAAATAATTTCTGTTTGTTGATATGGCCCGATGATGTTATTGGGGTCTCATGTCTCACGGATTTCAATGTCAATGTTTCAGGTAATGATGCAGAACATTCCAGGGCGAGAAATGTGCTTAAACAGCAAGGATTTTCGGCGTCCTCGTTTGACACCAATCAACGAAAGCATTTCAGCAATTAAAAGTAATTTTGTGAAGAAAGGTAAATGGTAAAATGCTAATTTTGAGATGTCATGACAAAATGCCTCATGACCACGTATTTTGATTATAAACAATTGTCAGTTGTTCTTTCTAATGTCCCAGAACCCATGAAAAATACAAATAACACTAATATTACAGGTACACTAAATGTAGTTCCATCAAGGATACCCGCGCACCTGTTGGATGTCAGAGATGCCTTCATTTCACTGCTGAAGGCGGACGGAGTTCTGTACCATGAAAACATTGTTAATGGTGAATATACGAGTGAAAGAGACACCACGTGCCTTTTGTATTTATCAGAATCATTAGCAACATTATTAGATTTTCCTGTGTCAAGGACGCAAGGAAATACGAGATGTGACATCTTCATAGCAATGCCCCATCAACCCCTCATGGTACTGACTGTGATTGACGATGGCAGTGAAACCGAGGAGATGAGAAATTATAACACCAGTGTGGCTAGAGAAGTGACTTCAAAACTACGCAGGTTTACCAATGAGAGCATCAACGTCATTCATGGAGTCTTGAGTTTGAGTGACCTGACAGACACAGATACATGCTTCATAAAGTTACAGAGAATTGCAGCATTAGCTGCATCCTTTGTTCCGAAGACTTCTCTATTGATGACGCCATCAAAATATGAACACGTGATGATGGCCTTCTGGGCAGCTGTTGCTGAGACTAAGTCAATCCTGACAGAGACAGGTGAAGTAGATGACAGTTGTATCAACTTTCTCACCACAGATCAGTGTGTATATCTTGTGGAGAACATAGAGAGTAAATATGTTCAGGCAAGATGTGAGCCCGGCAGTGGAACCACAACTCTGATGCTAGAGGTAGCCAGGAGGCTGAGCAGACTAGGGGAAACTCTACTGATATGCAACTCACAGGAAGAGAGGGACAGACTCAGGTAGTATGATATTGTGAACTTAATTATATGACTACCAAAAACAAAGTTTGTGTTGCTCTTCTGGACAAAAGTGAGATGATATTCTTAAATAGCAGGCGACCATTATTCACATCTGTAGTACTAACCATTAATTATCAAAGAATATGTCGATCTTTTTCATCTTATTATCATTGAATGAAACTAAGGACAATACTGTATACTACGGTAATAATGAAATCAAAGGGAGCACTTATTTTAATTCGTTATAACCGTAGTTCGTTATAGGCATATATTCAGCAAATGAACGTGATCAAAACACATTTCGTTATATCCGTCAGTTCGTTATAAGCGTGTTCATTATAAACGTAGTTTACTTGGTTGGTTGGTTTGTTGTTTAACGCCGCACTCAGCAATATTTCAGCTATATGACGGCGGTCTGTCAATAATCGAGCTTGGACCAGACAATCCAGTGATTAATATCATGAGCATCGATCCACGCAATTGAGATACGATGACATGCGTCAACCAAGTCAGCGTGTCTGACCACCCGATTACGTTAGTCAGCTCTTACGACAAGCATAGTCGCCCTTTACGACCAGCATAGAATAGAATAGAGTAGAAATAGTTGAGAGAGTTACCCAATTACATTGTTAACATACGCTCATCAAACGGCAACTTCATTTCGTTTCAAATCCATTTCATTTTATCTTATCACATTTTCATTGTTCATTACATTACAAGGGGATTTCACGTTTAATTGATTACAAAGGGATTTCACGTTTAGTTGATTGCAGGGTTAGTTCATGTTTAGTTAATCTGAGTTCAGTCTTCCACTGCGAACCATTGGTAGCAGAGCGTTGCTCTGAATATGGGCTAGTTAGTAATAGTGACTGGTGTTGATAGTTCTTAGGGTCAACGTACGTCATTCAAAGATAGGATACATTTTCAGGTGTAGTTAGATGCTTGTTTGGTTCAGTGGCTGACAAAGCAACAAGCATGTCTAAGATAGCAAGTATTAGTGATGTAGATAAGCTGGAGTTAAAATTAGCTCAGCTTAAGAAACACAAGACTGCAGCAAAATCTGCATTGACAAAGGCTCAGAATCAGATGCTGAGTTTGATAGACCAGGAGGTCTTTTCAAATGTCAAAAAGAGCTTTCTTGATGGAGATTGCAAAGATATTTGATCCTTTAGGACTGTTAGCTCCATTTACCATTCAGGCAAAGATAATACTGCAACACATTTGGGTGTCTGGTGTACGTTGGGATGACAGTCTGCATCCTGATTTAGAAAAATAGGTCTGGCAATGGTATAAGGAATTGGCAGATTTGAAGTCTTAATATTTCCCAAGATAGATAGAATTTAGAACAGAAATAGGCAATTCATGCCTACATGTGTTTGTAGATGCATCACAAGATGCTTTTGGTTCAGTCATTTATCTGGTGAGTGTTAATGATCACAGAACAGCGAGTCAACTTGTAGCTGCAAAAAGTCATGTTGCTCCACTGAAGGCTATCAGTGTTCCACGACTAGAGTTGATGGCAGCGGTTCTTGGGGTGAAACTTCTGCTTGCTATTGCAAAAGGTCTAGAAATGTCACCTTATGATGCAAGGATCTGGTCGGATAGCATGAACGTGTTGTGGTGGATAAAAAGCCACAGTAGAAGCTTCAAGCCATTTGTGGCCAATCGTGTGGGTTTTATACAAGAAGTGACAAAACCCAGCCAATGGATGCATGGGCCAACTAAGTTGAATACAGCTGACATACTTACAAAAGGTTGTAAACCTGAAACACTTGGTACAAAAGCATGGCTACAAGGTCCTGAGTTTTTAAAACTTGATGTGAGCCAATGGCCAAAGCAGATACATGCTTTCCAGAAAGTTGAGCTGGAAAGGAAAACGGGATCAAACATGAAAGTGACAATGTTGGTGCAAGATGTTGATCAGACATGGCGTTTGAATCCATGTAGGTTTTCCGACTGGAAAAGACTGTGTAGAATCTTTGCATGGGTCTACAGGTTTCTCAGTCACTCTCGGACACAAAAGAATATGAGAAGGAAAGAAGATCTGGACCTAGAAGAGATTGAAGAAGCTGAAAGGAAACTAATTTCAAAAGATCAAATGGAAGCATTTCCTAAAGATTATTTGGCACTGAAACAGGACAGCAGAATACCACCTAAGAGTAATCTCATAGGGTTACAGCCTTTTCTGGATGAAACAGGAGTGATGAGATTAAATGGCAGAGGTTTGCAGAAGTCTTCCCAGAAAAAGCCCGGTGACAAAGTTGAAAGTTAACATCTTGAAATGTGTCACCACACGGGAACAAATACCACATTAGCCTCATTGTCTTCAAAGCTCTGGATAATATCCTCAAGAGAGAAAATTCGGGAATGGGAAAATGCATGTTCTTGGTGCAAAAAGCAAAAAGCAAAGCCAGCACAACAACTCATGGGCAAGGTTCCAAAGGTGAGAGTTGTCTGTTCAATGAGAGCATTTGTTCAAGTTGGGGTAGATTTCGCTGGTCCATTTCTTACTGAAAAGGGTCGAGGTAGAAGCCGTCAGAAGCGTTACCTGTGCCTGTTCACAGGCCTAGCTACACGCGCTGTACATTTGGAAATCGCTTTCGGACTAGACACAAATTCATTCATAAATGCGGGGGGCACGGGTGGCCCAGTCATCTAAGGCGCCGCGATTCGCTGTGCAGAGTTGCGTCCCTTGGGCACGCCAGAAACCTATGATTGTGGGTTCGAATCCCGGATTGCCCCGATTATGTTTCTAGGTTTGTCAGCACCATACCCATGCTCGTGGGTTTCTCGAAGTGGTAAACGTCTGAGACCTGCATCACTTGGGGCTTTCCTCCCACATTAAGCTGACACGCCGTGATATAACTGGAATACTGTTCAAAGCGGAGATAAGCACAACTCACTCACTCACTCACTCATTCTTAAATGCTCTCTTCCGCATGGCACACAGAAGGGAAATGCCCAATGAGATCATATCGGACAATGGGACAAATTTCGATGGAGCTGTGAAAGAGCTTAAAGAGCTGGTGACTTCATTAGATTCTGTCATCACAATATCGAAATTGGCAAACAGAGGCATTGTATGGAGATTTAATCCTCCAAATGCTCCTCACTTTGGAGGAATATTCGAATCGATGGTAAAGTCAGCTAAACGGGCTATTTATGCTGTCCTCAGCTCAAGTGATGTCACTGATGAAGAACTGATGACTGCTTTTACTGGGGCCGAAGCTTAGAATTCAAGACCACTCAACTAAGTGCCCACACACAGGATGATGTTCTGCTCACACCAAACCACTTTCTACATGGGCAGCTTGGTGGAGATTTCACTCCAGAAATAGATTCCACTTCCTTTTCTCCCCAGAAGCGTTGGCGGAGGATCCAGGAACTCATCAGGCATATTGGGAGGAGATGGATTATAAAGAGAGTGGCTTCCAACGTTGAATGTCAGAAAAGATTGGGTCACGTCATCAAGAGACTTCCAAGTTGATGATGTGGTGATTGTCGTATCACAAGATAATCCAAGAGAAACTTAATCCAAGAGGAACTTGGCCTATGGGAAGGATATTGAAGACTTACCCAGGCAAAGATGGCCATGTTAGAGTTGTAGATGTTAAAGATCTGTCCTTACGAATATCGAGAATGAACAAGAACCAGTTGTTCAAGGTTGTAAATAGTGCTGCTGTTTCCATGGACTAGTCATTGTTGTAAATAAGTTGAGGTTTTTGTAGTTTGTCAACTGGATTGTCTTGAAGTATTGTTCCAAATAAATGGTAGACAGGGATCTATCATGGAAGGGTGCATGTTCTGAAGCGTCCGGGAACAAGTGTCATGTTCCTAGACACAGTGGTTGAATCATTGGTACAAAACAGCTTCGCAGAAAGCGTTAAAGTCGGTACGCAGCATATGCTTCTTGTTGGATGAGCGAAAAATGCGCATGCTATAGACACAGTGTATTTTCATTTGGCTTCTGGCGTTCATATGTGCAAGTAGTAAATGGATATCTATCTCTAAGTTACAAAATAGTGAATTAGAATAGTACAGAAATAGAATAGAATAGAAATCATTGAGAGAGTTACCCAATTACATTGTTAACATAGGCTAATCAAACGGCAACTTCATTTTAAGTTTCAAATCCATTTCATTTTATCTTATCACATTTTCACTGTTCATTACATTAAAAGGGGATTACACGTTTAGTTGATTGCAAGGTTAGTTCAGGTTTAGTTAATCTGAGTTTAGCCTCCCACTGCGAACCATTGGTAGCAGAGCGTTGCTCTGAATATGGGCTAGTTAGTAGTGACTGGTGTTGATAGTTCTTAGGGTCAACGTACATCATTCAAAGATCTTGTAGGTGATAGCTTGAGTATTTAAATTTTGAATTTGACAAAACTTTATCAGCATGATTTCTTCCATAAAAGACACATGAGTACAATGTCTGAAGTCCATATCCCAATGTGTGATCCCCAACTGTGATATAACTGGAATATTGCTAAATATCTCATGAAAATGCTGCCAAATCTTTCATTTAATCTGGATACAATACATGTAATCAACATTAGATACGACACAATGTATATACTCAACATAAGATGTGACACAATACAGGTACTAAACATTAGATATGACACAATACATGTACTCAACGTTAGATACGACACAATACATGTACTCAACATAAGATATGACATCATACATGTACACAACATTAGATATGACACAATGCATGTACTCAACATTAGATGACACAATACAGGTACTCAACATTAGATACGACACAATACATGTACTCAACATAAGATATGACACAATACATGTACTCAACATTATATACGACGCAATACACATACTCAATATTAGATACGACACAATACATGTACTCAACATAAGATATGACACAATACAGGTACTCAACATTAGATATGACACAATACATGTACTCAACATTATATACGACTCAATACACATACTCAATATTAAATACGACACAATACATGTACTCA